TGTGTGTGTGTGTGTGTGTGTGTGTGTGTGTGTGTGTGTGTGTGTGTGTGTCCGAGTACCTTATGATAGAACAAAATACTGTTTAAAATTTACGAAAGAAGGGGGTTAGGGGGAAATCAGGAAGTGAGCAGGGAATGAATGTCACAAAAGTCATGTCAATAGCCGGTCAAGACTATAAAAATAACGTCAACTTCGGACTCTATATTATCACGTCTGGGGCTCAAATTTTAATTATACCCTACTGTTTAACAACAAACAAAAGGTCTACCTCTAAAGATAACCTCCATCGTGAGGCTCAAACACATGGGTGGTTAGCAGGTGCTCTGGAGTTGTTTGCGCCTTCTCTCCGATCAAAAATGCCGTGCTTATAATCATTCTAATAATGTCCTCCTCCTTTTTTTGTTTTGTTTTGTTTTGTTTTGCTTTGCTTTTGGTTTGCCACTCTCTTGAAACACTTCTAATCTTCGACATTATGACTAAATGGCGTTGCGAGTGCCGCAAAACGCTGACTAAAACAGAAACTAAACTCCAAAAAATTAGCAAACAGGACCCCACCTCCAAACTCTTCCCACCCCTTGGCCAGGTGATTCACTTCTTACCAAAGTCCCCAAGTTATGCTCTACACTCCTCAACAGGCTATGAAGTTATATCATCGCTGTCGTATGCTTTTCACTTAAGTCCAAACTTGCAGAATTTTCTATTTTTACACCCCCCCCCCCCCCCCTAAAGCTCTATCATCAAAGACGTACCTTTCAACACCCCCAAAATGCAGTTTAATGCTTGGGTCAAGGCTTACAGTTCTCTTGCTTTTATGATTCCTGATAGGTACAACACGACAAAAAAACCAACAACTACAATTTGGTTTTTCTTTCTCTGGTGTAAAATGTACCCGCCAAACGGACATAGTTTTAGTTCTAGTAAGTGTTTTACGGCACTTGCAACAGAATAAGATCATAATGTATAAATGCCAAAGATTAGAAGTGTTACAAGAGATTGGTAACAAACACAAAAAAGGAGGGGAGATAAGGACGGTAGATGTTTGATAGTAAAGAAAAAGCAAAGAGCACCAGCCAACCACCCGCCAAACGGACATAAGTGGATTGCTTTCACACCGACGGCATGTGGTATGTTCAGCTCACGTGGTGGTAGACGGCCAAACACACCATTTCTTCTCACTCCCATCCTCAGAGAGCAAAAACCTCGATGACGTGTTATAATTAGAACTGATCGATCTCCCGCCCTTCTACTGAATTGCTCTTAATTTCGTATTCACAACACCTAGAAATACAGCCGATACAACAGCTCGTTCCCTTAGTTACAAAAATCGTCAATTGCGACATTCCAATTTAGATAAACGCGCATGATATCTAACAACGCCTCGGTCTGATTGTAGCGCGAACAACCACAAGCAACAACATTACTTTGACAATTTTAATGACAAACTTTATCGGCGTCTGTCGCTTACACACACAGGACATCCGAGTGGAGAGAGAATTTTTCTTTTTTAAACTTTAAATCGAGTACCTCAATTGTTGGGGTTTTTGTTGTTGTTGTTGTTTGTTAAATTTTGTTTGTGGTTGGGGTTTTTGTGGGGGGATTTTTTGTTTTTTGGTTGTTTTGTTTGGGGGTTGTTGTTGTTTTTATTTTTTTTATTTTTTTGGGGGGGGGTTTGTTGGGTTTGTTTTTTTCTTGTATGCTGCAGTTCTCTCAGTCCGGGTTGGGCGGGCCCCAACATGATCTTAATAGTGTTGATGGGGGCGCAAAACAAAACAAAAGATGAAAGAATTATAACTAATGGAACCGTCGTTATAAAATTAAGTGATTATTTTGAGCAAATGGAGGATCCAAGCTGCAAAGAATACGGCTTAAGAAACAGAATTACACATAAAGAGAGAAAAATAATCCAACTATTGATTGGCTAAAGCAAACAAAATACATACAGTGTAGATATCGTTCTTCGTTTTGACGGGCTGTAGGTCGTCACAGTCCACTGGTGAAAACGTGTACTATCTACCTTTCTTTCATTTTCAAGTGTGTGAGTTGTTTTTATAAAACAACAATAAATGGCCAATCCCCCC